AGGTGGGGTTTAAGGCCACGTTTTCTTTATATCCTTTTCCTTTGGTAGGTGCTGAGCTGCATTTTCACCACCCATGGCTCTCCTTGGCACAGGAGGAGCCCGATGGCCCTCTCTGATGTGTCACTCACAGTGCAGCCTCTCTGATCCACCCCTCATCCTCCTCCCTGTGGAGGAGCTCCTGGGCTCCTCTGGAGAGAGTTCCTGTTCCCGGGGCTCCAGCTGGTGAGGAGTGAAACTCTATCAGTGCTTGGTGACTGCAGGAAGCTTCGGATGGATGAGAATCCAGCATGGCCGGATGCCTCTGGAGCCGCCCCACAGCGAGTGCTGCTGACAGGTGGCATTGCCTGCCTGGAAGGACACTGTCCCTCTCCAGCTGCTCCCTGCTATCCCTGGCTGCACGCCCTCTCCAATACCTGCTGCTCACCCAGTTAGCATTCCAAGAGCTGTGGCCACCTGGGCTGGTGCTTAGAGGGAGGATTTGCTGTACTTAGATGAAAAATGCAACAGGAACTTTAAACTGCCCTGTGGCTAAATTTGGCTCAGTGTTCCAATCCCTGCAGCTCCCAGCTCTCCTCCTCTGCCCTCTCTTAGCAAGAGGCAAGGAAACTATTGGGTTGCACCAAGGAGCCACCTAGGCATCTACTAAACACCTTCCCTGAATGATACTCTTAGTGCTTCCCCAGCCTCAGGGGAAGGTCTGGGTGTGAAACCAAGAAAGGAAGAGGGAACAGAGTGTGTCATGGGGAGCTCCAGCTGATGGGATAAATCCATAGTATTCCTAGCTGCCTAATCAAGATTTTTGTGACACAAAATTTGCATTTACACACCTGTGCAGCAGATGGGAATAGGAGCATCTTATAATTTCCAGGTGCTTGAGCCCTGCTGGTACCAGTGCCAGCCCTGATGCCATAGGATTGGTTTCTGTGCCATCAGGAGTGAGGAAATGCTCAATTCCTTTCAGCGACCACTTGCAGAATTTTCCACTGAAGACTGGGAAAATCCTTGTCACATTTCCCGGTGTTTCTATGGGGTGTTGGGAAGTGATCAGAGAGAGAATCACACCCATTTCTGCTTGAGAGGGGGAGAAACAGGAGGTCGTTCCTCATCTCAGTCACGGACATGGATTGAATGAGCCTGGTAAACTGGGATAACTGGGTATTGCTGGTACTTGCCAGATGATTAACCTGTCTTCATATGCCAGGAAGGCTTTCCTGGAACTGGAGACACTGGCCAACATAAATTGCTTCTGTCAATGTGCTTTATTGGACTACATCAAAGTAGAATCGATAGCGAGTTAAAAAAAACCCACCAAAATGGGCTTAGTAAGGCAGAGCAAGTCATAAACAGAGTGGAGTGCTGGGCAGGTCAGGTTTCACCTGGCAGCCAGGAAAATAGGGGGGTTCTGGCGCTGCCGGAGGGTGATTCATTGCACTGGAATATTCCAGGGGAGGGGAGGCATCCAGGGGTTGTTAACACACTGCTGCAGGGAGAGGGGCTCGGGTTTCCGCCTCCAACTTCGCTGTCACAGATTTGTACTGATATCATCTATATCGGTGCACGTTCTCTGTTTCCACTTAACCCAGATGAAAGTGTGGTTATTGTGTTCTAAGGTTGCTGGAACTTGTTAATAATTTAGAATAATAGAGTCAAATTAATTCAGCTCTTAAAATCGAGCTTATTTGCATTGGCTTGTCTGGTTTTTTTTTGGTAGGAGATCTCTCTGTGGGCATGTGTTTGTGTGAGCTTTTTGTGTGTGCCTGGGAGTGTTTGTGTGCATACGTAATTTCCCTCTCCATTTCACAAGCAAAAGAGGCTGAGCTGGGTTTAAACGTTGGACAGGAAAAATAGTTTCTCCCTGCCTGTCAAGAAGGTCCACCCCTAAGCAGAGCCCAATAGCTGAGGTATAAATCCACGGGGAAAAAAATGGGGTTTGTAATGGAAATGCTCCCTCGTTTGAAATTATAGCCAGGCATATGTGAGGCTGGAATTCCTGCTGCAGCATCCAGACGGTGCCTCAAGCTGGCTGCACATTCCCAGGAATAAAGAACACCCCCCCCAGCCTACCTGCAGACTGACCTTTGTGCTAACTCTGACACGCAGCTCAGGAGCTGTTGTGCTGCACGAGGCGGGTGCGATCCCGGAGTGACAGATTGCTGCTGACAGGGAAAGGCTCTTCCAGCTGCATTTCTCTGCAGCCCCAGCGATATTTCCAGGGGCTTGTTAGAGGAACAACAGCACCAGCCAATAACCAGTTGGTCTAAGCCCTGGGGACAGACCGTATGGCCCACACTCTGCTTCCTGAGCTGCGAATGTGGAGCAAATTCAGCTGCTTTAGCACTTCCAGCCCTCACGTTATCCAGCAAAAGAACACACCCGTGTGTGCTTCTGTCTGTGGCAATGCCTGCACCTATAAATAACACTGTTTGTGTGTGTGTGTGTGTGTGTGTGCATATTTATGTGTCTGTGTATTTATTGTGGGGGAGGCTGGTTGCAGAGCGGTCCAGAAAATTGAAATCCTTTTGTGCAAATCCTGCTCTCGCGGAGGGAGCGGAGCCAGGAGACCAGGGGTGATGAATTGGCCCTGAACCGCGATGACAGTCTTTTTTTTTTAAGTCAAAACAATTTCGGGGAAAGGGTCTCCAAAAGAAGTCCAGTTTTAGAAGGTGGCTCAATTGAATTTCTGGTTCCTGGCTGCCTGCCTGGAGGGCCTCTTGTCACTTCTACTTTCTTCCAACAAGGCAGAAGGCGGAATTGACAGCAGCCTTCCCGCCAGGCTGTTAGGGAAGCAGGGAAGCCAGATGCTTTGCCTCCCTGCTCCCTCCCCCTCCTGCGGCCCGACAGCCGGAGAGTTAAGTTGTTTAACTCTTGCGTTTTCCCTCTCCAGCGTTCCCGGTCTGAGCCAGCGGGGATCCTGGGGGATGACACAGCACCTGGAAGTTGGCGCGTGTGCACCAGGGGGTTCCTCGGTGCTGAGGGCAGGAGCGTGCCTGGCACACAGGGAAGTGTCCTGAGGCTTTTGTACAGTAAAATTAGACTTTTGCACAGAAAGATTCTGCACAGAGGCACGTGGTGGGAATGGGCTGATATATGAGCCTCTCTCACAGAGCAAACCCAGGACAAAGAACTGTATAATATGATTTCAGAGCTTCCATCCCAAACCCACTTCTAAACTCACCCTCAGCCCCTGCTATTTATGTCACTGCATGTAGTGACATGTAGTGTAGGTGAGAGCTAGAATATTCCTATAATTTCTTCAGCAAGGGCAGTATGCTCAGGCCCCTATTTTCTTTGCTGAGAATCATCATCTTTAGATGGTAAGAACTGTGGAAGGTTTCAGTTGCTGTTGAATTAACATTTCTGCATGCATCATTTCACTAGATAATTTGCTGACTCTAAAATTTTTGTGTAATCAAATTGGTTGGCTGTTTTAACATTTGTCCAACACCATTTTTAAGTGGTAGTTAAATGATGTGGAGAAGGGAGCCCTTTCTTTGGACTCAGGGCTGCAGCAGGGTGAGGTTCTGTAGTTCAGTTTTTTGAGAAGGGACCTGCTCCGAGTCAGGGGTTGTGCATTTCTGACACACATGACCCACAGAGCCCTTTTCAACTGCAAAATGGGGTGACAAAGTGGTAGTGGATGGCCAGGAACTGGCACCCTCTCCCTCCCCAAGCTCATCTCATTGCCAAAAGCTCTGCACGCTGGTTAAGGTGAGAGCCCTTCTCCTTCCTACTTAGGATGAGACAACGTGGCCTCAGGCTGTGCCAGGGGAGGTTCAGGCTGGACATCAGGAGGAATTTCTTCATGGGAAGGGCTGTCAGGCACTGGAAGGGGCTGCCCAGGGAGGTGGTGGAGTCCCCACCCCTGGAGGTGTCCAAGGAATGACTGGATGTGGCACTGAGTGCTCTGGGTGGGGGACAAGGTGGGGATGGGGCACAGGGTGGAATCGGTGACCTTGGAGGTCTTTTCCAACCTCAGTGATGCTGTGAAATAGCCCAAAATGGGACCAAACCAGGGCCTTGGAGGGAAAGTTTCAGCAGGGGAAGGTTTACATTAGATATCAGGAGAAATTTCTTCACTGAAAGGGTGGTCAGGCATTGGAAGGGGGCTGCCCAGGAAAGTGATGGAGTCACCATCCCTGGAATTGTTCAGAAAATGTGTGGAAATGGCACTTGAGAACATGGTTTAGTGATGACCATGGTGGTGGTACTGGGCAGATGGTTGGACTTGGTGATCTTAGAGGTCTTTTCCAACCTCTGAGGCTGTGATTATGTGTTTCTGTGAGCTCCTCTGCACTGAAGCTGCCAGGCTGGGGGTGAATGTCTCTGCAACCTGTTGGCTCTGCCAGGGGCCACCCATGGGGTTCCCTTAAAATTCATACAGCCTTTTCTCCTCCTGTGAGCTTCTTTATGTCCTGTTATATCTCTGTGCTGTAACTCCTCCCTTCCACCACTGATCCCTGTGTCCCTGTGCCCCCTTCCCCTGTGGGGAGGATGGTAATGGAGCAGCTTTTCCTCTGTGCTTGGCATCCGTGCTGCCCCTGCCAGCTCAGGCAGGACTGAGCATCAGCCTTGGGCAAACCACGAACACTTGTCACCTGCAGCGAGGCAAAAAGTGTTGCCCGGAACAGCCTTTGGAAATATTTTAATTACCCTGGTTGATCCGGCAATCAACTAACTTGAGGTAAAGATCACAAGTGGAGACAAAGTCTAAGGGGAATTTTATGCTTGGAGTCAAATTTCAGCAACGTTTTTGAAGCATTTCTAATTGGGATGGTTTAACAGCCATGGCCAAACCTCCCCGAATCCAAACAGTCGGGATGTTCGTGGAAAGCAAATCAGTCACGCGGCTCCAGCCCAGCACTGGGAGGTGGGGGAACACGGGGCCTATAAAAGAACCAGCCCAACCACCGAGGTCGTTCTGAGCAGCTTTATAGTCAGAAAACTCCTTTAATGGACTGTAAATCAAAAAATGCAATTTATTTTTTGTTTCTCCAGACTTCCCAGTGAAAGATGAGCCCGGCTGCATTCAGACTGAGCCATCCTTGCCAGCCAAAGCAGATTCTTCATGCCTGCTTCCAAGCAGCACGAGCTTAAACAACTGGTGTCAGAGTGGGGTGTCTCTACAGTCCTGGCCACGAAGAGAGGTGATTATTCCTCCCTCATAATTCCATTTCCCAGAGAGGCGTGCACCTTCCTCTGTTCTGTCGACATGTGCTGCTGGAGAGATTCATTTCAGTAATAAGGTCCTTGCAGTGAAACTCAACAAAAATGAAGGGGCAAGTTTATTAATTATATATTTTACAGTTAATGAAAGATAATATTTAACAGACGTAATTGCAGGCATCTGCCTTGATGGCACAATTAATTTCCAGTAATAAACGGGTTGTGTGTCCCTTTGTTGGACTGATCAGTTACAGAGACAAATCCTGCCTCGTGCTAAGCCCCTCTTATCTCTTCCCATTTGCAGGAGATGAAATGTTCTCCTGCTTGGAGCACAAAAAAGAGGCTGGAGCTGGGCTGCCATCTCCACAACTGAAAAACTGCAGTGAAATTGGAGTTCTTTGTTCATGTTTCATTGCCTGCTTTGAGGAAAACAGTGATCAGGAGATGAGACACGAGCCTCGAGGTGAGTGCAGATCCCACCCCCCAGCTCTGCCAGCACACTCAGCTGGGCCTGGCTCTCCCTTCCTGTGTGTCCCTGCTCTGGGAGGCAGAGAGGCTTTGTTCTGCAGGACTCAGGTATTTCACCCCTCCAGCTGCTTCTAAGCATCTTCTCTTCCATCTCTGCTGAAATGCCACATAGGAGCACTTGTCACTCATCTCAGCTTGCACTCAAGCTGTTCCCAACACCTGGGCATGGATATACAGGAGCTGTCTGTGTGGTACTTGCCAGGCTGTCAGACCACAGGCCCCTTTGGGATCTGCCACAAAGGGTGCCCCGAGGTCTGGAGAGTGGGAAACTTTATTCTGCACTATCCCTGGTAGTGTTTCTATGCTCCTAACACCTTTCAAACAGGTAGGTAGGTTCTACCTCACCTAGGTGTCCATCCCTCATTATCTTCCTCCTAACTGAGGTACACACAGAGCCTGTGACACACAGTTGAGTGATTTTTATTCCCTCCACTTGAGGGAAGTATCTTACAACGTTTTAAACTGGTCCTCTGTGATTGACTCCTGCCACCTATTTCTGAAACGCAGCCAACAAGGTAAAAGGACATTTAGAAAAGTTAATAGATCCATTGAGGACAGGAAGTGAACCCAGGAGTTGGATAAAACACTGTAAACAGCCAAACCCAGCAAGGCTGCTCAAACCAGAGCCATCCTGTGAGAGTGTGATGTTCCTTCCTGCTTCCTTTTCTGTTTTGCTACAGAAACTGTTGGTGCAGTTGGTGGGTTCTCCCCATGGGGCTCACTGCAAAGGAACTGCTCTAACAGCTCTGCACACCTCCAGACAAGGTCCTTCCTATGGAAGAGGTGATGGGAGCTGCTCAAGGAGGTGTTTATCCCAAGGCATGCCCACAGGGATCAGGGTTAAGTCCAGCCTTCTTCAGTGTCTTCATTAATGAGCTGAAAGAGGGGGTAAGCAGCATGTTAATGGCATGGAGGATGAAGAAGGAACAATGCCAAGGGCCAGGGGAGGTCACTGGTTCCAGCCCAGGAGTGAGCAGGTCTGGGCTGTGTCTGCCACAGGCTCAGTCTGGCTTCACACTGGCCTGGTTTGGTGAGTAAAATGCAGAGCTGGGGCTGAGTCTGGGCAGTCAGAGCAGCGGGTTGGGTTTGTGAGGGCAGCTGTTCAGCTGAGTTTTGGCTGCTCTGCCTTAAACCCCAGGTTTTCTGCAGACCCAACTTGTAAATATTTAAGCACACGAGTAGCGAGGCTGGGTAGGGGTTTGCAGGCACGGAGGGAGCAGAGGGTGTGTGAGCTGCATGTCTGTCTCTCTCGTGTCTGCACCCGTATGTGCACGTCTGCCAATACCTTCCAGAGAGATTTTCATCCAGAATGCTCTGACAGCCTTTCAGGCATCAATCACACAGCACTGCAATCCCCCTGCAAGGTCAGGGAGTGTTACCAGCCTGTGCCTCCGCGCTCCTCCGACAGCAAGAGTTTGTGCCTGAGCAAGGAGGGATGGGCAGAGGGATAGTGACTCCTGCAAGTGTGTGCATTGCCTGCAGTCAGAGCTTTCCCGATTCCCAGAGCCAGGGATGGGATCCAGGTCTCCTGAACCCCCGTTCCCTGCCTTGACCACTGGAAACACTTCCTCCCCACAGAAACCTCACTGTGAAACCACCCGCCGGAGCAGGGCTTTGTAGTCTGGCAGGGAGAGCACGGGCCCTGCTCTACCCGATCCGCAGGCGCATTTTTGGGGTTGCATGTTTACTGAAATCTTGGCTTTGCTGGTCTGGAGAGAATAAAAGTTGATTGTTCAGCAGCCAGGGCTCGGCGTCGCCCTGCCCGTACGTGTAACTGCTCAGCACAGCCACCCCAGGCCAGAGGGGATGTTTGTGGGGCCGCAGCCGCCCGTGTGAGCAGCCTTGTCTCTGCTCTGTGGTAAACACAGCTCTGGTTACCTGCTCTCACTGGAGCCTTTCTGGCTTCTCCAAGCCTTCCCTCGGCCGCCTTGGCTTCAGGGCCTCGTGAGAGCTGGATTGATTTATTTATTTAATAATAGAACTTAAAGAAGGGGTTGTTTTCCAGATTGCTCTGGCCCAGGCAGTGGCTGTCTCCGTGAAGCCAGGTCATGATGGGGTTAGTGTGGAGGGAAGCAGGGCTGCCTGGTGAGCCTCAGTTGCCAATCCCACTATTCCTTCTGCCCCTCAGCCTTCTCCCTGTAGCCCCCCTCCTCCTGCACTGGCAGGAAAGTTTCCAGTGCCATGCAGGCTGTCCAGACTTTTCCAGTTCCATTGCTCTCAGGATGTGGCAGGGATTGTATGAAAGGAAGTTCACAGTCCAAGGCTACAAACAGGACAATATGACAGTAGAGAGAAGATGACAGAACACAAGGAGTGGGCCTTCCATTGGTTATTTATCCCATGCAGGTCCCTACAGGTATCACAGCATGTGCTTGCTGTCTCTCACTCTCTTGTATGAGGGACAATGACATTTTCCCCACTGGGCTTAGCAGTGTTGTCTCTTTGTTCCCATGGCTGGGAAGCAACTGCACTCTTTTGGATGATGGATTAGTCAGCGTTTTAAACAAAAGTCAGAGGTCTGTGCTCTGAGGCATCTGCTGCTCCTTATCTGAAGGCAATTAACTCCTGGCTGGGGTGGGAAAGGATTCCCCTAATCCCAGCTCCACAGACAGTGCCCACAGGTCGAATGGGCCATTGTGCTGCTTTAGGAGACCTGATTTTATTCAGCTGCCTAAAATGCTGAGCTCTCTGAGCTCTGCCTGGCAGGTCTGCCTTGAGCAGAGGTCAGTCCAACCACCCTGTCATCGCTGCTCTCCTGGCTCTGGGTTTTACAGCAGGAGAAGGAAACCCATCACGGTGGCTCTCTGACCTTGGCTGGGCAGGGTGTTCAGGTGCATCTTAAAGACTCCACGTTCCGAGAGACTGGAGTCTGTCACAGCACAGCTCTGCCTCAGGGGGGTCGTTTCCCTGAAGGTTTGGCTCTTCCTTCAGGAGTAAATCTGCATCCTCACACTCTGCCCATAAAACTGATAACAGCGAGATTGCTTTACACATCAGCAGCAGAATGGAGACAGCAGAGGCAATCAGGACCCAAAATAATTATGTTTATCATCTATAATAATCACACAGAGTCTAACAGCACATTAGCACTTCCAGCAGGCAGCTTTCAGCAACACAGGAATGCAGGCAGCGTTTTGGAGGAGGCACTGAGTGTTTTAAAGGACACCAGCCATGGCTGAATGTGCCCTGAGGGATTCTCTGGGCTGCCAGCACCCCCTGCTATTGCCTGTGTGGGGAACAAGGGCAGGTCCAGTGCTGAACCCGTCTCTGTAAAGTCTTACTGGGTGTAGTTTCCAGAGTCAGGCTATGGAAACAACAACTCAGCCCCTTTCTCACTGATCCCAGGTATTTGGAAGGTGTAACCTGGAAGAGCCTGCAGCTGCTTGAACCCCTCTCCATGGAAGGGATTATTCCAAGGGAACTCTCTGATGTTTCATTCTGTGATGCTGTCTCTGCTCCTCCCTGTTTTCCTGCCAGCCCTGGAATACAGAACCCTGAACAAGGACTTCAGGGCTGAGTTCCCTGCTGGCAGAACTACCCTCCCCTGTGATGCTGTGCAGTCTGGGGGTGCAGGGCTAGAAATGTCCAAGAAAATCCAGTGATCTCAGTTCAGACCAGCTCCCTGCAAAAAACATTTGCAAGCAGCAAACCCCACCATTCTTCACTCCATATCCCCCAGCTCTGTCCTCTCTCTCCACTGTTAGGGAGAGCCAGGCTTTGCAGCAGAGGAGAACAGGCCAGAGAAGGTCTTGGCCAAAAGGAGAGCAGTCAGTCAGTGCATTTATCCATTGGGTGGAAGGTCTCAGTAACTGTCTGCTTGGAAGGAAAGGTCTTAGAGCCAGATTTGTGTGTGGAATTAGTTGGAATCCCATCAAAAGCCTGTGACACTTCATCTCTTCCACAGAACATCTGAGCTGCTGCACATTTATTTATTCTGATGTTTTTGGTTATAAAGTGGCTTTCTAAACCCCTTGTTTTCCATGATGATCTCCAGATGAGGGTGTAAAATCCCTCCTTGCAGGATGCCAATCCTGAGGTATCTCAGGGTGTAAGGGAGGGATAGTTCCCATCCTCTCTGTGTCTGTCAGTGGGAACTGGTGTTTCTCCTGCAGACACCACCCCACTGCCAAGAACTCCACTTTAGCAAGGCTCAAAGGAGCTGCTTTCAGACCTGAAAGGGTTTTTTTAGAGCCAAACATTGATGTAACTGCATTTTTACTAAAATCCAAATGCAAGCCAATCAGTCTTTCACTCCAGCCCTTCACTTTTCCTGCAGATTGCTTTTCCAGGGGCACCCTCTGGCTTATCTGCAGTACTGTGGGATGCTGACAATACAGGAGCTGCTCTCTTGTATCTAAAGACAACCAGCTCAGGGGCTGAGCCAGACAGATCTGTGGTGTGGGTACCCCATGCCAGGGAGCTGAGGAGGGAGCTGAGCTCCATGGAGTGCTCCAGGCCTGGCCAGGACAGCCCTGCTGTTCCCTGTGCAACTGAGACTCCCCTGCTGTGTCAGGGATGTGCAGTCCTACAGTCAGAAGATAATGGGGGGTGAAAGGAGCCTCAGGGAGTCTTCAAAGCCAGCTTCAAAGTGAGGTCCAGTCGGTCTGGAAATCATCCAATCAGCTTTTGTGTCTCTTCAAGGGCAGGGATTGTTCTGCCTCTCTGAGCCCCTGTCCCAGATAATTGGGTTTTCCAGGAGCTGAGTGCTCAGTAGCTGAGTGTGAAGTCCTTTCCAAAATCTTTGCCCTTTTCTGTGCTGGCAGAGGTTCTGCTTGCAAAGCAGGTTTATCACTGACTGAACACCCACCAGGCTTCCCCTGTGCTCCCAGAGCTCCTCCAGCCCCTTCATGGGCTTTTCCAAGTGCAGAAAGGCTGACACTGGTTCCCATCCCAGGGTGTACCCAGGGTGGGTTAGAAATGCACATTAGGACCAGA